TTCATCCCTCGCATTTTTTCTATTTATTATAAAGTTACTTTCCAAGAAGTCCATCTGTCTAAGACAATCACTTTTCATTGACATTTGGTTGCCGTCTTGGTCAATTTTGACTTTATATCAATCTTAATCTTCATTAGAGTTTACTTTTTCACAAGTTTCTACCTGTGATTCTCGACAAAATTAGATGAGCACAGTTCATCTGTCCTCATTCTGCACATGAACTTTCTTCTGTCTCGCCACGTTAATCTGTACAGAAATTACCTAAAGTACGCAGTAGAATCATATGTTTCCATTAATTCTGGAAAAAAAGTTTCCTCGAATTCGAAACTCATTTAGGGTGTCAAGGGTATTCAATTGCTACACATGGTTATAAGATAACATCAACATGAAGCTCAATATCTCAGTAAAGTCTCAAAACCACCTTGTGCAAGGAATATCAGGGATGATGTTATATAGTCCGATAGCTGAGAAAATCAGAAAATAAAAATGCAAGAGTTAGGACATCAAAACATAAGTACAACGCCCAAAAATGTACTCACGGCAGCCTGCCTTTTTCCTTCGACGCGGTCTGACACAAGCCACTCCAAGTTGCGCCGCACCTCAAACTCCACGTACTCGGCAGCGTACGTTCCCGACGAGAGCGCCAGGATGCCCACCGCCTTGGCAGCCATTTCCATCACACCCAAATCGTACGAGTTGGACGGCAGCAAGTTCATCAAATAATTGGCAAATCTGCTCATCCGGGTGCCAATGTTGCCAACATCTCCACCTAGCAGACTCACTACAACACAAAAGCAAATTTTTAAAATATTAGTTTTAGTAAGAGCAAAATTTTTAAAAATCAAAATGAAACATCATATGAAAACCAAGCAATACACTACTATTTGAATGCCAGAAAGGGTCTTCATTTCTAATATTAAAATAATGATTGCAACGTGTGCCTTAGATAGCAGAGCTTGGAATCAGACTAATTTTTTACCTCAAAGCCCACATCGATCAAGAACATTTTGAAAAAGGAAATCAAATAGGCTACAAAATATAAACTCAAACTAAAAGGTTTCCTCCTCCTAGTGTAGTTGATAAAGTTTTACCACAACAGAATCCATTGACCTTAATTGCACAACCACTGTATCATTAAGATTTGATTCTCAGTTATCAATCAATGCTGTCAACTAAAAATAACATTTCATTTTTTGTTGTAATATTCTACATGTTAAGTACGACAATAGGCAGCACAACAGCAAATGGGTTAAATTAAGGCCAACTGTTTTTCCTTTAAGATTGTTAATATTATTTTACATGATACAGCATTTCAACTTAACATTCTGTGAAACAACCCATTACAGTAAAAGTAGCCTCTATATAATAAAGCTTCAATCTGTACACAAACAGGAAGAAACAAAAAGCAATCTTTTTTTTTTTTTAAACATGCAACGTTTTCAAACTTACCAATGGCTAAGACACCTCCTTTCCTCTCGCTGACATCTGGGCTCGAGACCATCTCGAAGATGTGATGATTGAAATCATCCATGAAGGATGCCACATCATCCTGTGGCATTTCCCGAAGTTCAGTAACCACAAAGTGGTGAAGTTCAATTGCTGTCTTAAACCTAACATCTTCTGCCCGATGCTTAAGGCCTGCAACAAAGCCTTGAAGCATACTTTTGGTAGACATGGTGATAAATCTGGCAACTTTGCAACAATATCTCTTGTCAAAACAGGCTCAGGGTTGGACTGCACACCTGAATAGAAAGAAAAAAAAATAAAATACAAGGTGGACAAGATGTGAGCTTTGTGACAGCGTGATGGTGGCAATTTCACCCCACCCACCCCCGACTATAATCCTGAATAAAATGTGCTTAATTTAGCACACCAGGACCTGAACAGGGTAAATCTAACACCAACTGAAAAACATTGAGAATTGCCAAATTCAAATAATAATATATAACAGTAAAAATAGTAGGTCCGGAGAACACTTGAACAGACTAAATCAAAGTGTATGTCGGTGTTACGCTCGTTCTGTCGATTTGCGCAATCAGTGGACCATGCAACGCATTTTGAGGATACATGGAATGCGCATTCTGTAGATTAGCAGATCATGCAGCACTTTTTATCGATCTTTAGAATGCGTCATGAATGTCCATCTTATCGTTAAAAATACTAGACTAGGAGGCTCAAACGTTGCATCCTATCTGTTTCTGATGGTCTTTGAGACTTGTGATCGTTGGTGCCTGCTCCAGGCCTGACATCTGCCTGAAGGAGGAGGAATTAAATTATAATATCTGTCTGTTATTTAAATCATACTTATGACGTTAACTTCCGCTTAGTGCAAAGTCAACAATATAGGATGGAGACTCATCTGATATTAACACCTTCTTATTTCATAGCAGAAAAACGGAACACTCGACACAGAGGGTAAGATATTTGTAAGATCCGCTGCACATTCTATGGATTCACAAAAAGCGCTGCGAAATCCACCGATCGTGCAAATTGACAGAACGCGCCTATCATTACATAGGCATTGGCATAGGATTGACCATTTGGAACTTCTGCCCAAAATCTTAATTTAATAACTGTTCATCCCTGCGGAACTCCTTCCCAGCCCTCTACCGCCCTCATCTCTTGTGACTTGTTGAATACAGAAGAATACAGAATGATTGTAAACTGATACGGGCTAATGATATGATTAAAGCATTGCAATGGTTAGGACTAGATCTAGAACAGAAACTTGAGAAACAGAACCACAAGGATCTGGATCTAGAGATCTAGAATCTAGCAGAAAACAAGCCACAGTTTTCACCGACGAATTTTCGCTGTCCGCCCCCCTGCATAGCAATAGGATAGTTTTAGTATTGAGACCACAGCAACACAAAAGATAGATCTAGATATCTAGGTCGCTACGAAAACCAAAATATTGCAAACTGTATGCTAAATGCTAACAAAAGATTCTAAAATATGAAGTTACTTTTGTGCCTGCAATCTTGTTAAAGACAGACATAGATCTTGATCTTGATGTTGTGTAGTCGGCCAGACATTTGGCGACCATCCATGTTTTTCTGAGTTGACAAATGAGAGTAATGGGTAAAACAAAAAATAGCATTAGATCCTGTCATAACGCGAAACGAAGAAAGCATTATTATTACTTTGCAAAGAGGTTAGGCTAATCGTACTAGAGGTCGCAGCTGTGACGTCACCCACATAACTCACTAGGCTATGGCTGTGCGGGCCCACTCAGCTCGCTTTGTCGCCATTTAGAGAGGATTAGAAACCGCGCTGTCCCGATGGGCGTCCCCCGCAACACCTTGGTCTTCGTAGAGTTTGAAGCCGAGTTCAGTTTGATTTTAAGATTTCTTTTTGTTTGCTGTTGTTGTTTAATTATATAACATACACGCATAGGGGCCTGCACAATACCACGCTTGCTAACTGATTGTGGGAAACATAAATGCATTTAAATGTGGGTTACAAATAAACAGGGATATATAATATGAGATAATGTTTGTTTTTCCCCGGTGAGTGGGGGAGGGGGGAAGGGCGGAGGGAGACAAAGTGAGTAATTTAGTTTGTTAAGAAAAACGGTGATTACAAAATGGATTGCTTTTATGTTGTTGTCTACACGTCTCTCATTCTACTGATGCAAAGCCTAGGTCTTTAGAGATTAAGAAGGGGGTTAAGACTTGGTTAATTATTTAATATAGTAATTCTTTATTGTCTCAAAATGAGCTCTTAATTATAGGCTGGGATACTGGAAATCACTCATTGTATGGATCCTGTGCGCACACTCAAAGAGTGTTGTTTAAAATTGCGCACAAATAATTATATAGCCTACTGATAACACTTTAAATTGCAACACTTAGATAAATAGCCGGTTTGTCTTAAATATTCACAATATTTTCTCAAATTGGCGTTGATTGGCAATGGTGTTTGGCTGCACAACACCCTATCTTCCATGAACCCCCTGCTGCTGCCGGTATGTTGCTCATACTGTTTGGCATCGGTTCCGCAAATGAGACAGAATATTACGCCGGTCTTATTGGTGGGTAGGTACGGCTGGTTGGCTACTTTATTTTCTCTGTTCTCAACAACATCGAGAGTGGTTCTTTTCTGTTCAGCCAGCCTTGAAGGTGTGCTAGAGTTGCAGCTGGAGCTTCTAGCAGCTTCTCAGTCACATTCTTGATTCCAGAGGGCCGATGCGAGCGCCCTGTTGTGATCAGCGGTGCAGAATCTAGACATACTTTTTGAGCGGCACACAGCAAAAGATTTCAATAAAATTATGTTGGTTTTTTTTAAATAAGAGATCATCAATTCCATCTCATTCATTTTTTATTTATTTTTTACTCACCCGTATGTCACACCGTGTGAAAGGCAATATTTGCATTATTTGAAGACTATCTGGCTCATTCAAAGGTAAACAATCACAACCTCCTGCCGGTGGGAGACCCATTGGGAAGAAAAAAAACGAACAATAAACTTCACAACATTAACCCCAAACTGGGACCGCGAAATCCTTCGGGCCTCTCCAGAAGAGACGATGTCATTTTTACTCGATTACACATCGGGCACACGGCCCTGACACATAAATACCTCCTACAGGGAGATGAGAAGCCATTCTGTGTCGGATGCGACACAGATTTTACCATTAGACACATTTTAACCGAATGTCTAGACTTCGGAGAGACCCGAAGGAAATATTTTAGATGCAAAAAAATGCCAGATCTGTTTTCCATCGTTGTTCCCAACAGAATTTTGGATTTTATGAAGGCCATTGGCCTTTATGGGAAGTTATAAAATGGACTGTTTGGAATAATATGTAAGTGTTATTTAGAAAGTTGTTTTAAATTTAAAATCTATATTTCACTCAATTTTTAACATTTTAACCATTTTAATTAGAAATATTGACCAGAATCAGGGCGAGCAGTGAGCTGTTGGGGGGGAAAAAAACTTGTTTCACGCGCTCATATTTATGACCTTACGCAGTTGTGAGCGCCATAAAACCCCATCATCATCATCATCCAGTGCCAGATCTGCGATAGACATCGGCAATCATGATTTTCCATTCATTCCTTTGCTCTGATGCTCTCAGAAAAGCAACGTTTCCCTGATCTTTCCCTGTTACCCATTTGTTTAGGTTCCCTAAGTATGTTGTTCTGGGCCTACCCCTGCCTCGCTTGTACTCAATTTTGCTAGTGAGAGCTAGATGTTCAAGACCCTTATGTCTATTCAGGTGTCCCAAAAACTGCATCTGTCGTTTCCTGATTGTTTTAACATTGAGCGTCCCACGTGAGCTTCATCAAGCACTATCTCATTTGATTTCTTTTCCTTCCACGATACTCTTAGCAGTCTCCTAAGAAACCACATTTCTGTTGCCTCTATTTTATTTTCACTGTCTTGAGTGATTGTCCAGCATTCACAGCCATATAGAAGGGTTGACCAAACAAAGCATTTAAGGACTTTCATTTTGGTGTTCATTGATATGTTTCTATTTTTCAGGATTGGGCTCATTTTAAATGAAACTAGCCTTAGTCATTGCAGTTCTCCTTTTTATTTCTGCGGAAGATTTGGCATCAGATGTTATCATATATCCTAGATATTTAAACTGTTGGACTTGTTTGATCTTTTCACCTTTGCTAATGAGATTACAACTAGGATTTGCTGCTTTTTTGGATATTACCATGCATTCTGTTTTCTTTACATTCAACAATAATCCTTTGCGTTCACTTTCTTTTACAACCGTATCTAGAAGCAATTGAAGGTCCTTTTCGGCGCCTGCTATTAAAACCGTGTCATCTGCATACCTGATGTTATTAATATTTTCTCCATTAACTTTGAGGCTTGGACATTCTTCTATGTTTCTAAGGATTGTTTCACTGTACATGTTAAAGAGGTCTGGTGACATAACACATCCTTGCCTCACTCCTCGCCTAATCTGCTTATATTCACTGTATTCTCCATTAATTCGTACAGCAGCGTTTTGGTCCCATATTAAATAAACTAAAAAACAATCACAAAAATAATTTTGAGTACATTTTAGCGATAGGCAAATCGCATGAAAAAGAAAGCAACATCTTAAGACTTCGCAAAGTATCATTAGTCCGTGATTGAAAAGTGTTGCTGTGCACCGACTGGCCTTTTATTCCTCTCCGGAATGGCGGCGCGCCCCTCAAATTTGACACTCGTGACATCACAGCTAAGACCTCTGCTAGCTAGTTCTTTATCGAGAGACCTTACTGTATAACCAGAGACCGTATGCACAGCGCTCAAAAAGGACCCACCCTCAAAATTGAAAATCACAAAAAGGCGTGGGGAATGTTGTTCCATTTTTTTTTACAGCCTTCCACGCAGCTGCTGGCGGGCAAAGGGTAGTTCTCCCGAATTCTCAGATCAAGCTCAGACTACAACTGTTCAATAGGATTGAGATCTGGACTGTTGGCTGACCAAACCATGCAGGTAATCCCCACCTGAAGCACGAAGGCGTTGTCGTCTTGAAGGACAGCATGAGGCCCAATCTGCTGCAGCGCCGTGACGGCTAGAGGTCGAAGGATCTCCTGCAGATACCGCTGCCCTGTCAGGATGCCTTGACTGCCTTGCCGTGAATGGTGGGCACACGTGCTTCTGACAATTCCATTGAGATTCACGAACTTGAACTGGTCGTTTTCTTTGATATTGCAGGGACTTTGTGAGAACCTTTCTTTTGTGATTTTCGATTTTGAGGGTGGGTCTCTTTGAGCGCTTTGAATTGCGCATTTCGGCCTCGATAATGATTAATATTCTTTTTTGCACTTATGGATTGATGGATTAAGTGAGTGTCAAAGAAGGAATAATTTGATTTCCTGGTTTTTATTTTGAGTGCACTATTATAAGTGGTCCTTAACATTTTGTGAAGACTGTATGACCTTATACATGATTTGCAAGAACCGTAAAACACTCACCAAAAAGAATGTAAAAAATCAGCGACTGTGAGCACTGACGGACCATTATAATACATGCATACGTGAATCTCTGAGCCAGAGATGATACCTCCAGGTACCTATGGGCACACACACACACAAACATACACCCACACACACACACACACACACACACATACACAAGCACACATACACATGTGCACACACACACTGACACACACACAAACACACACACATACACACACATATGCACACACACACTGACACATACACTGACACACACACAAACACACACACATATGCACATGTACACACACACACACTGACATATACACTGACAAACACACACAAACATACATACATACATACATACATACATACATACATACATACACACTGACACATACACTGACATACACACATAAACGCACACATACGCGCGCGCGCACATACATACTCGCACGCACGCGCGCGCGCACATACACACACGCACGCGTGCGCGTGAAACAAAAAAAAAGAAATGAGAAGGAGAAGAAGAAGACGAAGAAGAAGAAGAAGAAGAAGAAGAAGAAGAAGAAGAAGAAGAAGAAGAAGA